GACCCTGTCCAGTGTCCCCAGGTGCAGGCGACTATGGCAGTGCTTGCCGTGTCCCAAGAGGGAGGCAACCAGAGGGAGCTCCATGCTGGTAGATGGGGGTCCACATGGGAGTGGTAGCTGGGGGGTCCTGCGCAGGAGCAGCTGTTGGAGGTGCTCTAATAACTCATACAGAAACAGAATTCCCACTGCTTGAATCTTAAGTCACAGAGCTACAAGAAATGCAGCCTTCCTCTAGTCAGCCATCTTGAATCCTCCCTACAATCACTTTTGAGCAAAGTCATTTACTACTCAACCTTGAGAAGCCAAAAACTTGTCAATATTGTTATCCTAATCCAGGAATAAATTCATAGTAAAGTTCTGGAATAACTTGAAAAATTAATTATTAAATATAGTAAAATTGCCATGGCAGTATATAGTGCTAAAAGGGGGAAGAAGGAAAAAATGTGCAAGAGAAAAGATAAAAATTAAAAAGAAAGAGAAAAGGTAAGATAGAAAACAATAATACACACCAACATAAAAAAAATAGATTGATGTGAGGGAGGGGGATATTTGAAGATTTGAGAGAGTATCAGGTAATAAGAGGAAAAAGAGGTGTTAAGAGGAGCACTTGTAAACCTGAGTTAGGAAAACAAAGATAGAATTATTCCAATTACTACTCTAAGACATTAGAAAAATGAAATTCAAATTGATGTGGGGTCTATTTATAGTAAATCATGGCAACATAACCAAAATTCTTATTGACTCTTGGTTTGGATTTCATCAGGATCTGGGACCTTTTGAAGATGTTTATCATTCTTTGGCTTCATATCTCCCCAGAGGTTCTGGGCTACAGAAACCACTCCCCTGTTGAACATCTCATCAGATGGTTTTCATTTGTCAGCTCAGGGACGTGAGCCTGGATGCTTGGAGGGTGTCGTGCTATGTCGGTTTGCTTTCTACTGTATACAGGAGCTCAGAATGTAGGGCTTTGGACTATTGTTCTGTCCACCATGGGTCATTTCACACCCTCTCCTCTCCACAGAGTCCTCTTCAAAGTGGCATAGAGCCCGAGACTGTCTTCAAGCACAGGACCTGTGGTCATAGGTTTTCTGTGTGCTGTCTGTGTTGCAGAAGCATCCCTCTTGACTAACATGGGTGTCTGTCCTAACATCCACTGCCCAAGGTTGTGAACCATAGGTACTTCTTTCCTCTGGTGCCTGGGACAGAACAGCTGTCCTTCCTGTGTCCAAGCTTCAACTAGTTTTAGCCGTGAGTCACAGATGCTTTCTCCCTGCACTGCCAAGGACAAAGACTCCCTTCATGTCTGGTTCTGAGCTCTCATTTCCCACAACAGTGAATCTCAGGTGATCACTCCGTCTCTGTCTGGGCTCCCATAAAGGCTGTGCAGAGTGATGCATTAGGCTAGTACTTCCAAGGGCAAGTCTAGCCCACTCCTCTTGTTCTTGGTGAGGGTGGGGGTGGGGGTGGTGTTTCAGCAGCTTTCAACTAGCAACATTCCCTCTACAAGATCCTTCTAGATAGATTATTGAGGTATTTCACAGTAGGGGTACTCCCTCTGGTTATATTTGTGGCTATCTGAAGGTGAAGAGATTCCTTTCATTTATTCTAGGCTGTCTGGCCACCTGTGGGCTCCACAAAACAGCTGCCATGCCCAGAATGACTTTTTGTTCTCAATTTGTGTTAAACTACTTGGTCTCCTTCAGTGACTTAGCTGTTTCTGTTGTCTTTTCATTCGACCTGCTTTTCTTTCCAGCTGTTATTAAGGGAATGAGTGTATATGCTTTTCCTCTCTCTCTTTCTTTCTCTGTTGCCCATCTCCCCACTTCCTAACCTAGTCTGGGTTCAAGGTTAAGGAGCTCTGTCCTTATTTTCTACTTTGATAACCAAACTTCAAGTCTCTGTAGGTCTCAGACTCTCCAATGTTGAGTCTTAGAGCATTTATTCTGTAACTCAGACCTTTGGTCAGCTGTTCCTCCTTTTGGTGCTGTGGAAGAGTCAGGATTTCTGCCTCATTCCTCTCCACTTCAATCTTCTCTTAATTTTATCAAAATTTTAACACCAGTCTATAAGATCTCCCTGGAACCCATTTATCAGAGAGGATCTTCACTGTGATTGTCTTTCCTTTAGCAGGTAGCAACTTGCTATTGATTTTTACCTGATGCTTGCCACCATGATGAAGGTTTTCTGTGGTCCTATTTAGCTCCAGTCTTGTGTGTTTATCTCAGATGTGAGTACTTCTCAATCATATTAGTTTTCTCCATTGGGAGTTGGTTCTAATGGTCAAGGCCCAGTACAGTTTTATAATCCTCCATCAGGGTTAGAGAAACTGGGGGATTTTTTAAAAAATTAACAATGGGTCCTCATTTGTGTCCTGGGAATGATAGTTTCCTGCTCTCTGCCTGCATCTTAGTACTTTTGTCCTATAAGGTGGAAGGCTCTTACTATAAATTTTGCCTCTCCTGCAGAGCAGGCTCCTATCCTCTTCCTGGCTTGCATAAGAAGGAAAGTTTTCTCCAATTTTCCATCCTACCTTCAATCACTGTCATGAATAAGAAGTGAGGGTCACAGGCGGTTTCTCACAGGTGGTTGCAAAGTCTTTTTTTGTGTGTACACATTTGAGAAATTACTCTTTCATGTACACTCACATTTGGGCTTAATTTATACATTAAAATTTTATCTGATGTCTTCACACAACTTTGTATGGTGACTAATTTTCTGTGTTTTGCTCCTGGTGTGTCAGTGCTTTTATCCCATCTTCTTGGAAATTCCAGGCTGCATGTTTCCCTGAAATCTCTCCAAGGATCAAGTAAAGCTGTAATTTTGCTGATTATCTAATTTTTCCATATTCTTAAGTTTGTGGCACTTCAGATATTCTGGTGAAAGCCAGAATCCATAACATTATATTCGAATAAGTAGAAAATGTAAGTTTGAATAATGTTTCATTCATAATTTTTTCTTTTATAAATGCTGCCTTATATGAATTCTCTGGGGGGAAAAGAAAACTTTTGAAGTTCATGTAAACACTCCTACTTTGTTAGGTTTTCCCATCTTGACTAGGTAAAAGTGAAAGCATGTATTCTCATTGACTTATATGATAGGTGAAGATAACAACACATGAAACCACTTTTCATTTGCAAGATGAAGCATGCATTTTCATAACATTGCAGTCCCACACACATAATTACAGCATAACCATATTCAGAGAACATCAGAAAAATAGGATTTTAAGTTACTTTCTAAAGACCTAGTTGAAAAAACACCCTTACCCTCCCTCTCATACAAGGCCTGAAAAATCTTAAGGGCAAGTCAGAAGTATGCATTACTAAAGAAAGATAGCTTTCAACTTCAGTAGTAAATGCAATCATCTGGGAGAATTTTTTAAAATACCAATGGTATTCCCCACAACAGAGTATTTCTCAAGTGTTTCATAGATGATTTTAAAGTGAGTTGACCAGGTATAAAATCTTATATGAAGGGATACCAAAAATGCATGGTAAACGTGTGAGGTAGGAGATGGATACAAGGTGCAACCATTCATAGGAAAATAAATAAAAATTATGTTAAGACTTTTACATCAGAACTAACCCAAGAATTACTCTGGGGTTGATGCTGCTAGAAGAGTGGAGAAACTTCTGGATTGTTCCTCAAGTTATTTCATTGTTAATGTTTTAGTCACAGAATGGGTGACACTGGTGGCTATATCCATAATCTCTCTCCAGATTCTTCTGTGCTTATTTTGGCACCCATGGTTCTATGTGCTGGGAAAGAGTTTAGACAAACTCCAAGTCTCCTGGGAAAAACTAGGCAGGGCTTTGCCATAAATACCTGGAGATAAAAAGCACACTAGATTCAGGAACTCTGTTAGTCAGCTTTCTGTCACTGTGGCCAACATACCTGACGAGAACAATTTAGATGAGGAAAAGTTTATTTTCCCTCATAGTTTCAGAGGTTCAGTCCATGACCAGCTGACTTCATTGCTCTGGACCTGGGGTGAGGCAGAACATCATGGTGGAAAGACATGGTGAAGGAAAGATATCAGCTCATGGCAGGCTCAGAAGTGAAGAGACAGAAGAAGGAGCCAGGAGGAAAAGATATAATCATCAAGGGTATATTTCCAGTGACCCACTTCTTCTACTCATGTCCCACCTGCCTATAGTTACCACCCAACATAGTAGTCCTTTCAAATTATTAATCGAATAAGTGGATTAATCCACTGATTAAATCACAACTCACATAATTAATCATTTTGCCGCTGAACATTCCTGCATTAACACAGGAGATCTGACAGGATACCTCATCTCCAAGTCAAAACAAGAACTAAGATAAATGATAAGATGTATGGATTCTGACTCCACTGAAGCCTCATCCTATAGCCATGGTCATCAGATAACCTGACCTTTTATATATTACATAAACTTAAATGTACAATATGCACATAAAACTTAAGTATTTATCAGATGTATTTCTTAAATTTTCATTTTTCATAATTTTTTTCATTTTCATAATTATTTCCTCTCTCTTCAGCTCACTTCTCATTATTCCCTCCTATCCTCTCTCCCACTCTGGCTATACTTAATTACCTGAAGTGTTTTGAATTCATTACCTTCTCTTATGTCTACAAAGTCAAGGTGCTTCCTCAGCCTGGAAAACTTACTCTATTCCTTTGAAGTCTTAATTGGCTACTGTTTGCTTTGCTTCAAGACTCTTCTCAGTCATTATCAGATCTCCAAAACCTTCCTTGAATGGCCAACCTGAATTTTGTGCCTTCAATTTGTGCCTCCACATCTCCATTTCTTTCCTATCTATGTGCAGATTCAGCATTCAGAATCAATTCACCACAGTCCTTTTATTCAGCAGGAATGGTATGAAATTTATAAATGAGATTTTTTTCTTCTTTCCAGAGTGAGGTAAGTCATGTTGGTACTTGAGCAATGCCAGGTGCAATCATTCAGCTGAACAGAGTGCCACCCACAGGTTTGTATAAACAATCATCCCTTGGAATTTCCCATGGAAAGGGACTTAAGTATCAGCCTAGCAGAATCATATGCCCAGAGTTTGACAGCAGGAGTGGGGATCCCCATCTGACTCTGGAATATCTCGCCTTGACTGCAGAAAAACCGCTGAAACACTGTTAGAAATTCAGGTAACTCAACTGGAACTCTTTCTGCAGGGTCAAGAGTGAACTGACTTAGGATTACAGGCTCAAGTTAATGAGGGGATTTACTAGGGTTTAGGTTCATGGTTTTCTATTAATGGATAGTCTACTTATTCTATCCTTTCCTCTTCTTGCACCTTCTGAGAGGACTTCTGTCTCTAATTTCTATGGACTTGACTGACCTACATTTGAAGACTAGTGAGATCTGGGAGTGCAGAAGGATGTAATGCATTGGGCAGTCTTCATCATTGTAGAAGAAAAATATTTCTCAATCTTTCTTTATGGATCAGTTGAATGTAGCTTTGTGTCTCAGCAAATATTGGGCTCAATTTCTGGAGATGGCCTGAGAACAAGAAAAGAAAATAGTGTTTCTGTGCATGTTATTCCTCTATCACCTGTTTTTTCACAAAGGGAACTAATTCTTTGCAACCAGAGTACTTCTCCTTTAGTGTTGCTAGTTGTGAATAATAAAAATAGAATGAGAAAGAGAAAAATCTCATAATGAAATGTTTATGATGAGCTTTTTAAAAAATGTGATATCTGAATTCTTTCATTTTCTGAAATAAGCACTGAAAAACAAATACTGCATGTTCTCAATCATATATGGATGTTTAGAAAGTTGATTGTATACAAGTAGAGAGTAGATTAGTTGTCAGTAGATTCTAGGTAAGGAAGGGTAAGCAGGAAGAGAGGAAAGTCAGATAGTAGGTACAAAAATACACTTAGGAGGAATAAGTTCTAGTGTTCCACAGTACCATAGGTTCACTATATTTTACAACAATTCGTTATGTATCTTTCTAAAAAAAAACCTAGAAAAGAGGAGTTTAAAGGTTCCCAGCACAAAGAAATGCTAAACGTTTAATGAGAAGGAAATGTTATCCACGATGATTTGAATATTACACATTGAATTATCACATTGTACTCCATAAATATGTACCATTATTAGATGTAAATTTAAAATTTTTTCAAGAAAACTGAACTATATTTTACTTTCAAAATATTGCATGAAAGACTTAGTAAAAATATTTTAAATCATCTACTCTCAATAATAAAGAATGACATATCAGAAACACTTTGATTCTGCTTAAAATAAATGCATAACAAAAAAGGGATGGGTTGGGCATTGTTTCTGGGTCTTACTGAGTTAAAGACATTCATCTCTTCTTTTATGATCTGATTAACTTTTCTGGCCGGTTGAAGGTGATTTGTAACTTTTATAGTATTTAACTGACATATTTGCTTTCTGTTTGAACATTTGAAAATTTCTTTGATAAAATATGTATACACATGCTGTATGATTTTAAAAATGTTAAGTGTACTTCTCTGTAGCGTTAAGTGTAGTCATGTTGTTTTGCAACAATCATCACCATCCCTCCCTAGAAATCTTTCACCTTCCCAAATTAAAACTCTCTATTAAACACTAACTCCCATTGTTCAAATATTTTTTAGAACTCATCTATCTAGTAAGAAACATGTACCTAATTAGGATTATTATTTGAGTGAGATTGGAAATTTGGGGTTCATTATAGCAATATTCCAAAGGACAATGTTTTCTATATTATGATCAATGCTTGGGGCTGGGGTTGTGTCTCAGTGGTAGAGCACTTGTCTAGCATGTGTGAGGTACTGGGTCTGATTCTCAGCACCACATAGAAATAAATAAAATAAAGGTCCAATATATATTTGGCTTTCTTTTTAAATTGTTTTTTTAAAAATTATCTTTGGAGAACTGCAGAGTAGCTGTAGATAGACAAAGTAAGATGAGCATCTCAGTAACCTTTACCTCTTAGCAAGAGTTTTGTCCTCAGTCTAGTCTTGCCCTTCAACTGTGGAATAAGTTTGTATAATTACCATGGGGAAACTTCAATCCTATAAGGTGCCATATCCTGTAATTAATATTAATAGATAATATTAATTTGGTCACACTTCCTGCCTGAAACATAGTCTGTCATCAGCAGTGTCACTCATGTAAAGTAACTTAGAAGAAAAACAGGCAAAAATTTATGATGAAAAAATACAGAATATAGTTGTTATTATTTTTGTGGTGCTGGGAAAATGTAGTTATTACTAACTCAACTGGTTGCAAAAATATAAACATGGAAGTTGTAGTACCTTCCTCCATTGCTTGCTCTGTATAATACTTGCCTTCAGTCAGCACCTTAGCTAGATGAGGTCCTTCAGAGCTCTATCCACTGTGGATCTGAGCCCTTGAATCCCTACTCTCATTGGGTAACTTCAGGTCTCTATGGACCAGGAGTATTGGTCAAGTCACCTCTGTGACCCCTGGATCAGTCTCTCCAGTCATGCAGTGATGTACTTTTCTGATTCTTGGTTAAATGGTGTGAGAAGCTCCAGGTGGTTAGGGGAAAGTCTCAGCTTCTAATTCATCTCATTCATAATTGTGTCATATAGTGAAAACCTTCCTCTGTGAGATTATGGGACCTCCAAACACACTGCATTGAAGACTATAAGAAGGGAAGTAAACATTTTTTAAGTAGGTTATAAGGTCACATAATGAGAGGATCACCTTCCATATCTACTCCTTGGTTTCCAGGACCTTGCATTCTGCTATAGAATGAAGTCACAATCAGTTATCCACTAGTTTAAACAAATCCCACATGTTCTAGGGCTAGTGTTACACCTCAGCCTTCCTCAGGTTCTATCAAATCAGTTATATCTAGGTCATGGGCACATGGTAAGCCTGGTGAATCCCATGCCCCTGAGGACATTGATGCACTTCCTTTGCTATAAAATGAATTTCCTGGTCAGAGACAATGTTGCATGTGATTTACAAAAAAAAGGGAATGAAAAGACATTTTTATGTGTATGAATATCTGTGCATGATGAAGTGCGACCAGCTGGGATCTCACATCCAATGGGGAAACTTCAATCCTATAAGGTAGAGTCAGTATCCATCCCTTGAGTATAAATTAATGTTTCCTCTTTGATGGATGCCACCAGCTAGCCACGAGTCTCCTGAAATAATAAGCTGAACATTCAGGGATGATAGCTAAATAATCCTAAAAGCAAGGATATCCATATTGTTAATCCTATGCATGGCCCTGTCCCTCTGTTCCCAAATCCCCTTGCCCCATGTCTCAGCATTTTAGGCTGCCTTAGAGTGTCTTTAAATTAGCTTAAGAGTCTTTATAAATGTAGCATTTAATTATTGCTCCAATTCTGAAACCCTTAAAATTAGACCTTGGATTCAATTCTCATTTCCATCTCTTATAATTAGGGAAAAAATGAGCTTTTCCAGAGTTAGGATGGAGACCCCCTGGTTCTCAACTGTGGATTCATTGCTTTTAATTTTTCCTTTTCATCAGGTCAGTCTTCTAGGACAGTCATAAGAAGGTAGAGAACTTTGTAGTCTTTATAGTTACTTTTTGATCATACCAACCACACTATTTCCTTTCCTTCCTTGTGCCTTCTTCACCACCTGCACTTGATCCTATACCACCAATATTCATAATTTGAATAAATCTGGTGCTGTGGCATGCTATAGATTTCTTTTTCCATTCCTTTTAGTAGGGTCAACTGTGCCTTCCCCCAGTGCATGAGAAACCCAATTTCAGAAACACATGTTGGGAATCTCTTTCTGAGAACTACATTCAACACAAATTCCTGTTACCAGCCAGGATTTCAGCAAGAAATGAAAGACATGCTCAAGTTCAAGGAATATTAATTAAAAAGCTTATTTATAAATGTGCAAATAAGATGTAGAGCAGTTTGGAGGAGCAAAGAAGGACCCTGGAGCTAAGAAAAAGAGATTATGATCACCCATACACCTGAGGAAGTAAAGGCAGGAAGCAGTAACCAAAACTTATAGGCAAAGAGGGCTACAGGGTATGTTTTTTGTTTGTTCAATGTTTGGTTTTGTTTGTTTGCTTGCTTAATGATTGGACAAATAGCTCACACAGCAACCCAGCAGAAAAGTCTGAGAGAGCAAATATTCCAAAGTCATCCTCTTTCATTCCTGTAATCTGCTTATTATTTCACCAGAAGCCACTGAAAAGAGAGCCAATTGCTATTCAATTCTCACAAAATGAAACTAAGGATGTTTCATTTTGTGAGAAACAGAGAAAGGTGGAGAAAATGGAGATTGTATCTGGGGAAGCAAATAGGAGACAGCCAGCACATCTAATATATGCTGGACACACTACAGGATTCTGCAACATATTTTGAAGAGAAGTTATAATTCCTATATTAAAAATCCTAAAAATCTATAGCAAAGTCATGTACCTTAACAATTGTAGCAGAGAATAATATGTGTTCATAATTTACTAGGGTAAATATTAAATTTACCCTAAATAGGTAAATTAAAAATAATTGCATAGAAATCTAAAAGTTGACCTGTTCAAAATTTAATTGCTTTTCTTCCCAAGGGTCTTATCATGACTAGTGACATAATTTAGCCACCCAGTTACACATCCAAGAAGCTCAGAAGTCATGTGAAAATACATCTCTGCTATTCCCTCAATTCAGAGACTAATTTAATCTAGGAGTTGTACAGTTATTCTCTCTTTTATGTGGTGATATTTCGTTCCTTCCCCAGCAATACCTGTTTGGGTTGAAACACTCATCTGTTTGCCATGTGATGTTATTGCCTCCATTCCTTCCTCAGCCTTCAGAATCACACTTCAAATATGTAAATCTCTAAATACTGTGCCATGACTATAAATTCTTTATCAATAGCTAAAAATCATATTTTAAGCATTTTTTTGCTCCAAAACTTTATACAAACTTAAACACTTATATTTAATTAATTTAGGTATGTGAAATATATACTCTTATGTATTTTTCTGGATAGTAAACAGAGGTACAGAAATTACACAAATAACTCGGGGTAACCGTTAAGTAGTAAAGCCAGGGTGTGAGTCTGATTCCAAGGCTCTCACTTTTCATCTCTCTTAAATATTTCAACAATATTAAAAGTGGTAAGAAAATTAATACTTACAGTCCTTGAGTTCGTTACAGTACTTATACTTTATAGTATAGTAGTGTCAGGTATTATTCTGGTTACTTTAGATATTATACTCCATTAATTCCAACAATAAATACAATGAGAAAGAAATTAATTTTCATCCCCTGTATATAGCTGAGAAATGGAAACACAAAATTTTAGTAATTTTTCTAAACTCATACAGTTAAATGACAAGGGCAGAATTTTGACTTGGTTGGTCCTTTTCTAAGACCCTGCTTTTAACCCCTATGCACGTGACTGCTTAGACTGTTACAATTCCCTTGCATAGAGGATAAAACTTACATTCATTAACCTGGCATGTGGAGCCTTCGTAATTTGCTCTCTGCCTCACTCATCATTCTTACTAGGTTTTGCTCAAGTCCTCTTGCTCAGCAAGGCTTCCTCATATTGAATCTGATGTAGGTCCTTGTTGCCTCATGCTTCATGAGAAAGCCCCTCTCTCTTCACAAGGTTGCACCTCCTCACTAGTAAAGCCTCTGTGGACCTTCTCCCTGTTATTATATTTATGTGCTGGAGAGGGAAGTGCTCTCCCAGGTTGCTAGAACTGCCCGTGTACACAGGGTGGTATTTGCACATCATTGTTGCCATCAGCTATTTTTTTCCTCTTGTCTGTAACACTAGCACCTAGGAAGCTGGGTTGTTTTTTTTGTTTTGTTTTGTTTTTTTTGAGGTACCCATTGATAACTATCACATTTATCTGCTGAGTCAAAAATCAAACTATCATATGAATGAAAAGCCAATTTGATTGAGGAAGCCAATTTCATTTTCCCCTTTGCTTTTTATTGACCACACGAGTCCACACATCTATCTCTAATTACAAGTTCTCCATGAAGATAAAATTCGGAAAGCCATATTCCTTTCTGAAATGGCCACTCGGTTCTCCCCTAATAATAAGCCTAAATCTCTGTCTGTAAAGTTTTCTGTTTAAGTAAATGTAATTATATGTGACAGATGTTTGCAGTACAGAGACTTAGGAGATAAGGTTCTGTTCTCTAGGTCTGTCACTTTGAAAAAGCAGGTCATTCAATGAAGTCTACAAAACCAGAAAACAAATGACATCTAGCTTGGGAAGAACTCGCCCTTGAGTGGGAAAGACAGGTCAGTCTGGGCCTACTCATTATATTGCATATTCTTAAGGGTTGGGTTGCCAGAGTTAGCAAATCAAAATTTGAGGACACTAAATACTACAAAGGAAATGCTTATACTAAAACTTGCTTATTGTTTATCCGAAATTAAAATCTAACTGGATGTCCTACATTTTACCTGGCAAGTTTACTTGAGAGTTAATTACTATGAAAAGATGTGGAGGTGTTTGAATTCTGCAACTTCTTACTCCTGTTATCACTGTTTATGAACTTGCCTCATTCCTTATCACAGGTGCAATGAAAACTACAAGGGTACTTTTCTGCAGACTCTTTGTTGTCCTGTACCTCCTTCAGATGGTTACTCCAAGTTCAGGTATGATCTCTCACTTGTCCTTACAAACATAAGAAAAATGAAGTTTGCCAGGAAAAGCAAGGGTGAACTCAAAAAATAAGTTTTTTATTTACTTTTTGACAATTTCTTCTAAGGTTTAATATGTAGTAATGATATGAAGATGAGCACCATAGGATACGGCTTATATTTAGGAAGAATTAATCATTCCTAATGAGCAAGTTTTCTTTACTCAGATTTGTACTAGGTTCCAGGAAGGAAAAACAAATAAAGATAAATTAAAACTTGCCCTTGAGAACCTTTCATGTTGAGGAGACATGATTTATGTATTACTTTTGCAGAGAGGAAGTGGTGCAAGGAGTGGATCCATCTTGGAATCCCTGTGTGTTTTCAGAACAGTGTAGAATAAGATAAGGAAAGATGAAACAGACTAGAGGGATCTTGATAGAGGATGGGAATCTGCATTTGTCAAGGAATCTAGACAAGGCAGAAATAAATACAGGTATTTAGAGATCCATAAAATTCTAAGACAACAAATGACATAAAAGTATAGATATTTCTATTAAAAGCTGCACGTTAGATGAAAAACATCTTACTGATACAACATTAGGTGGGATTCAGTCTTTTGTTAATTAAAATAAAAAATTACACAAATATCATTGTACCTGTTTTAAGCATAACTGTGAGTGTGAACATACAAAGCATTTCCAGTAGAACTGCTGACCATAGTTTATGCACTATTTTACTATTATATTGAAAATGTTATTCTGAAGTAGTTGTCAATAACTTCTGCCAAATAGCATATGTGAGTTTGTCAGGTAGATGTTACAGGTATCAAAGTTTTTTTTATCTTTTCCAAACTTATTGCTGAAAAATAGGATTTTACACTGATTACTTTATAGTTTCTTATTAATGAGTATGGTTGAGTATCTTTCCAAAAATTTTGTATTTTCTTTTTCTCTGAACTTCCTGTTTATTTTCTAACTTCTTATTTCCTATTCATTGTTAGGCATTCATAAAAAGCAACAAAGAAAAGACTAACCATTGATTTGATTTTTAATCTGTTTTATCTGTTCCCTATGTTTATGACAAGTTTATAATTTATTAGATTTTTAAATCATATTTTGGATATATAAAATTTATTTTATTTTGAATTTTAATTTTATTTCATTGATTGCAAAATTGCCTGCCAAAGTTGTTATTTATTTTGTCCTCCACTTTTTCCTAATTGACTTTTAATTTTTAACTCACTTAATTTTTATTTTTAATTTTTAGCTATTTTCTAAGTCAGTTTCAGGTTCATGAAAAAATTATGCAGGAAGTGTATGGAGTTCCCATATAATCCCACTCCCTTATTGCCATCTGCCTCCCTTCCACACACACACAGTTTCACTTATTATTAACATTTTCTCTTTTTATACAAGGCTTGAGAGAGATCCAACATTATTTTTGTCCAAAAATAATTAATCAGTTGTCCTTTCCACTGATTAACTCAACTTTCTCCACTGATTCCAGAAGTCATCTTTTTCATAAACCAAATTTCCAGTGTGTCTGAATTTCTAAACTCTGTTCCATTGAGATCTCTTCATGAACTAATTTCAGATTTCAAAAAGATGATTATATTTATGCGATAAACTTTAATATTTTGTAGATATATTCCATATCCAATAGTTATTTAAAAATAGAGCTTTTATATAAAAAATTTCCAGAGATTGAAAGATCAAGATGGTGGATCAAAAGCAGGCTATACAAATGCCCGCTCCTCCAGTCTGGAGTAAAAGCATTGAGAGATCAGCTACTCGGCAAAGTTAAATATTAATTTTACTTTCTTCAATATCCAACTTTACAACCTACTATAGTATTATTCCCATTTTCACTTTTGGATGAGTGGAGCTACAAAGATAATTTTCTATAAGTTTTTATGGATTATTAGCATATGGTTTACTCTCAAATGGTCACTTACTCAAGATTATTATGTCTTCTCAAAGAAGGGTTAGGAATTGATCACAGTAGTTGAATATGTTGAGAAGTTGCTTTTATGCTGAGATTTACCCACAGTCTAGGGCACATGGTAAACACAAAGTAATTCACTAAAAAAGTCTCTGACATAAGAGTAGAAGATATATCTAGCCCAGCGGATATTCAAATATCAAAACAGAAATATGGAAACATGTCTCCGAAATTTTATAACTTTCCAATAGTTGAACCCATAGACAATGAAGTAGAAGAAATGTCAGGAAAAATTTCAAAAAGTTGATTGTCAAAATGATCAAAGTTCTGGGCTGAGGTTGCAACTCAGTGGCAGAATGCTTGCTTAGCATGTGTGAGGCACCAGGATCAAGTTACAGCACCACCTATAAATAAATAAAATACAGATCCAGTGACAACTAAACAATATTGAAAAACAATGATCAAAGTTCCAAGGAATGATCTAAGGGAGAAGATACACACAGAACAGGAAGATAAAAATAACCAAGAGATCAGGGAAAAGAATAAATTCATTAGAAAAAATAGATAAGCAAATGAGAATTAGTCATGATTCAAATATGAAAAATGAAACAAAATGACAGATGGTAGTACATACCCCTATAATAACAAGTTCAAATGGTCTTAATTTTTTATGAGTTCAAATGGTCTTAATTCTCCAATTAAAAGATATAGAATAGAATACTGGATTGAAAAGCAAGACCCAACAGTATGTTGTCCCAAGAAACACATCTCATAGGCAAAGATGTTCAGAGACTGAAAAGTGAAAGGATGCAAAATGATATCCCATGCAAATGGACTCCAAAACTAAGCAGGATTAGCTAATCCCATATACAGACAAAGCAGACTTCATGCCAAAAAATAGAACAGACAAACAATGTCAAAACATTTGATAAAGGAAACAATTGGTAAAGGAAACAATCTAACAAAAATATAATTATTTATTCCCCAAATGTCACTGCACTTAATTTCATAGAACAAACATTGATACAAAGGGACTGACAGGTCCCAATACAATAATAGTGGAGTACTTCACTACCCCATTCTCACTAACAAGTAATTCTGGCACAAAATCAAGAAAGACACATCAGATTTAAACTCTAATATAGCCCAAATAAATTTAACAAGAATATACAAAATATTTCATCCAAAAAAGCTTAATACACATTCTTTTCAGAAACTCATGGAACTTTCTCCAAAAGTGATCATGTATTAAGCCAAAAAGCAAACCTTATCTATTTTAAATGATCTCTTGCATCTTTTCAGATCAGAATGAAATGAAATTAAAAATCAACAATGAAAAAACACAGAAATTATACAAATGTAAGAAAGAGTTTCTTTTGAATGATAAGTGGATCACTGAAGAAACTGTGGAGATGGGTTTAAAAATTCTTGGAATCCGAAATATTAATAAAACATATCAGAATTTATGGGATACAGCAAAGGCAGTTCTAAGAGGGAGGTTTATATATATTAGTGCCTACATTTAAAAAAATCAGAGAGATCTCAAAAAAAAAAAAAAACAAACTAATGATACATTTCAATGACTTATAAAAACAAGAACAACACAATACCAAAACTAGAAATATGAAATAAATCATAAACATCAGAGCTAAACTTAATGAAATAAAAAGTAAAATAAAAATACAAATGATTGGGGCTGGGTATGTGGCTCAAGTGGTAGCGCGCTTGCCTGGCATGCGTGTGGCCTGGGTTCGATCCTCAGCACCACATACAAACAAAGATGTAGTGTCCGCCGAAATCAAAAAATAAATATCAAAAAATTCTCTCTCTCTCTCTCTCTCTCTCTCTCTCTTTAAAAAAAGATTTAAAAAACACAAATGATCAATGAAATAAATAGTTGGGTCTTTTGGGGGGGAGAAATAAACAAATTGGTAAAAACTTAGCCAAACTAACTGAAAGAAAGAAATACTTGCAAACCAAATTCAACCATTATTAAAAAACACATATTACATGATCAAATTGGTTTTATTCCAGAAGTGCAAGGATGGTTCAATGTATACAAATCAATAAATGTAGTATAGAACATACATAGAATCAAGGAAAGAAAACATAATCATTTCAATAGATGCAGAAAAAGCATTTGATGAAATTGAACATTCCTTCATGATAAAGTCCATGAAGAAAGTAGGTATAGAAGGAAAATCCTTCAACATAATAAAGGCTATATATGACAAAACCAAACTCAGCATCATACTGAATGGAGAAAAACAGCATTTTTTTTTTCAAATTCAGGATTGAGATAAGGATAGCTGCTGTTTTTGAAAGACATCAAGGCTCTTCTTCACTATAGTCCTTGAAATTTGAGCCATAGCAATTAGGCAAGGGAAAGAAATAAATGGATATAATAGGAAAGGAAGAAGTCAAATTACCCCTATTGGCAGCAGCAATCATATACTTAGAAGACCCTAAACATTGGTTCAAATGACACTTAACCCTGATAAATAAATTCAGAAAAGAAGCAGAATACTGAATTGATGTATAACAACAAATAGTTTTTCTATATACCAATAATGAATCTTTTAAGAAAGAAATTAAAAAATAATTACATCTATAATAGATTAAAAAATACCTAAGACTAAACCTACCAAAGGAGGTGAAAAACCTCTATAAAGAAAATTTTGAAATGCAGAAATTGAAGCAGATATCAGAATATGAGAAACCTCCCATATATTCATGGATAGGAAGAATAATTATTGTTAAAATGGACATATTAGCAAGAGTTGATCTATAGAGCAATACCCATAAAAATACCAGATATTCTTCATAGAACTAGGAAAAGCAATTACAAAATTTTTAAAAGACAAAACACCCAGAATAGCCAAAGCAATCCTGATCAAAAAGAGTAGAGCTGAAGGCATCACAATACAAATAACCAAATCAATAAGTGGGCAAATTAACTGAACTGAAACATCTCAAAAGAAGTACAAATGGTCAATAATTATATGGAAAATGTTCAACATCTTTGGCCATCAGGAAAATGCAAATCAAAACACTGAGATTCACTCTAGTTAGAATGCCAACCATCAAGAATGCAAATAATAATAAAGACCAGTAAGGATGCAGGGGAAAAGGAAATGTTGTCCATTTTTGGTGGGAATATAAATTAGTATAGCCACTATGGAAATCAGTATGGTGGTTTCTCAAAAAATATGATATATCAAGAACTATGTAATGTTTTGAACAACCAACAATAAAAAATTAAAAAAAAATTACCATATGATTCAGCTATACCACCATTGGTATTTATCCAATGAATGAAAGTTTGCATACTTAAGGACACATGAATACCCATGTTTATCACAGCACAATTCACGAAAGTCAAACAATCAGCCTTGATGTCTTTCAACAGAATAATGGATAAAGAAAATGTGATACACACTTACACGTACACACATATGCGTACACATACATACATATACACAAAGTTTTATCAACCATAAAGAAGAACTAAGTGATATCATTTGCTGGAAAATGTATGGAACTGGAGAACATCATGTTAAGCAAAATAAGCCAAACTGAAAATGGAGTACCAGGTGTTATCTCTCATATGTGGAAGTTAGTGAGAAAAAAAAGGGGGAGGAAAAAATATTAAAGTAGAAGGAAGACTGATAGAGTATAGGATGGAAATAAGGGTGATGGAAGAGGGGAAATTAAGAGGAGTTATTGGGGAGTGAACTTGATCAAATTATGTTACATGCATGTACCATATGCCACAATGAAACTCATCAATCTGTGTAATTAACATGCACCAATTTAAAAATAGATATAAAGAAGTTTATATACATGTTTTCTTTTTGAAATAGTTCAAAGAATTTTATTTTGGCAGCCTCAAATTCTTACACTGAGTTATCCTTTCTGCATTGTTGATTTTAATAGGAAAAGCTCTAATATTTTCTATTTTGAATTTGAGTATTTTCTTCCTTTCTCTGTTGCTTGTGAGATTGTTATAACCTGAAAAATTATAAAATTAAGTATTATACAACTTTAAGAATATATATGTATATATACACTTATATAAGAATATACTCATATTTTTTTTATTCTTATTCTAACACATACACATGCATGTGCACACATATATGTATGTATCTGGTCACAGTGGCACACACTTGTAATCCCAGCAATTTAAGAGGCTGAAGCAAGAAGATAGCAAGTTCAAGCCCAGCTTGAGAAATTTAGTGAGATCCTGTCTCAAAATAAAAAAAAATTAAAAGGACTAGGGATGTAGTTTGGTGGCAGAAAGCACCCAGGTTCAATCCCCAGTCTTAAAAAAAAGAACTTATATGTCAAAATACACTCTACTATCATGTGTATCTAAAAAGCAAAAATACAAATAAATATGTGGATGTTAACCTACAATAAGGGAGGGTAGGGAGGGAAAGAATAGAAGTTCATTGGATTAATCAAAGTGGAATGAAAGGAAGGGAGGGTGAAGGGAATAGAAAAGACAGGAGAATGAATTGAACATAACTGTCCTTTTCTCATCAATGTATACACAACTAGTGTAAGTCCATATTGTGTATGATCACAAGAATGGAATCCTAATTGGAATGTGTTGTGCTCCATGTATGTATAATATATCAAAATACGCCTTACTGTCATGTATATCTAAAAGCAACAAATAAAAAAAAAGATGAAAATGTAACAAATTATTTGTCTAGTTATATATAAAAACTAGTATAGAATAACAATGAAATGATTTAACCCCTTATCATTATTATTTTGAAGTAGATGTGAAGGTAAACATGGCAGCCAATGTATAATCACTCTTCGCAATTATTTTGTCTGTAACACGTGCATTTAAAACACACACAAAATAATCTGTATTTTAGAGATCCAAATAAGAGTTTAATTGTTTAAGGAAAGAAGATTAACTTCACTAGCAATGCTCAAATATATGAAACTATCCCCAAAGATTTGTTATATAGGCATACAATAATTTAGAGATCGAACTATCAGCACCTAATGTAGCATTCCTTCACATTTACAAAATAATTTTTAATATAAATGTATTAAATATAAATTGATCAATCACACACTGATACTTGAGACTGTGAAGCCTCCAAGGGTGAAAAAAACCTAAATTGATTTGGCCATTTTGATTAAGTGGTGATATAACAGAAGATATTGAGAGAGGTAAGGTGGCCATCATGTGGGAAGTTGGAGAGTACTGTGAGAACAACTGCTTTTCATTCTCCCTTCAATGAGTGGTGCAAGAGACGAAAATGAGAGAGTCTAAAATGCCCCGTATTCTCACATCTTATTCCAGTCAGGGACTAATATCAGCCTTGAGAGTTTCTGAGTCTCTTGCCTGAAAGAACATGTACTGTAGCCAAGTTGCACCAAAAAGGGAAAACAAAAAAAGAATCTTGGAGGAGAAGGTGGTGGTACTTTAGGATATCTTCCTGGTAATTCCTAAAACAGCCAAGACAGTTACGTTATAAAAGAATATAGAGAATAAGAGAAATAAAATTAAACATGCAATGAGTAGAAATTTCTAGAATTGAAAAAAATAAGAATCTTCCAATTCAAGAAGCCCTATGAAAATTATCTAGAAAAAAAGGATACATTCATTATAGTTAAAGTGTAGCAAATATTAAAAGCAGTCTGAGACAGAGATTTACAAAGGATGAACAAATAGAATGGAATAAGAAGCAACTATTAAACTTTTTCCTAACAAAGACAAACCATTTAGCAGCAATGAAGCCATATTTTCATATTTTTTAAGGTAAATAATTTCATGAACTCTACTCCAGTCAAGGGTTAAGTTAAAATGTCTTCAGGGTGAACAAAATAATTGACTCTCAATAAAGGATATGTGTGTGTGTGTGTGTGTGTGTGTGTGTGAGAGAGAGAGAGAGAGAGAGAGAGAGAGAGAGAGAGAGAGAGAGAGAGAGAGAGATGATAATGATTTTGAGTAGAAGGTGTGTCCTAACTCATGCTCTCACCTTTTGGTTATTGTTTCCCTTCCCAGAACAATTCATGGTGAAAGGCATAAAGGGGCCAATCCTGGCTCCATTTGGTGGAGAAGTTGAGCTCAGCTGCCAGTTGTCTCCACCGCAGAGTGCACGACACATGGAGATCCGCTGGTTCCGTAACCGCTACACACAACCCATTTACCTGTACAAGGAGGGTAAAGACCTGTATGGAGAAACTACCTCCAGGTATGTGGAGCGGACAGAACTCCTCAAAGATGCCATTGGAGAAGGTAAAGTGACCCTCAGGATCTTTAATGTCAGTGTTGATGATGATGGGCAGTACCACTGCTTCTTCAGAGATGGTGATTTCTCTGAAGAGGACATCACAGAAGTGAAGGTCACAGGTAAGGTGGATCCCTCTGAAGTTTCTCTGCATCTGTGATTCTCAACCCATCTGTGGCTCAGCATTAGAAAAACTCTCAAGTGTTTCAGACTATTTCCTTTTTACATAATTTGGTTAGCAAGTTCAAATTTATGCATTTAGTTTTTGAACTGGAAAGAGTAGATGATCAAGGGTGAAAACTGTGAAGACAACAACTCTATCACCAAATACCTTCTTTTTATGTCCACATACATTGTAGATTTCTAAAAGACCAATAGTTCCATTTTTAAGATTTGTTTATGTTTTCAGTTATTTCTGGTAGCACTTTAGTAAAATGTAATTTTACAAGCTACCTGAAGCTTTACAAAAGTCTCCTTAATGGTAATTTTATTATCACTTCTCCTAGACTCAATTCACTGACTATTTAGTGCTAAGTTAATTTTCTTAAACCTATTTGAAAAAAAAATCTTTATCTACAATCTTCAATGTCCTCAGATATATATGCTATATCTATATGGGATGCAAATTCATAGTATTTAAGTCAAGCTCCTCATCCTTTAAATTATTCCAAATGACAGAGAAATGCAAGAGATATGGAGTAAACTGAAGAATTTCATATATGGGAGCATCCAAATGTAGGACTCTGGCCCACTCATGTTTAACATACTTATTGGGCATTATATACCACCTGACTCTGCAGTCTAGATTTGAGCTATCCAATATGAGATGATCATCTAAATTTATATTTAAATTTATCAAAATTAAAGAAATAAAAATTACATGTCCAGTTCTAAAATCTCACTGACTCCATTCCAGGTAATATTCTCATGTAGCACATAGCTACTCTATCATAAGCAGAGGTATAGACTATTTCTCTTATTGCAGAAAGTCTTATTGGACAGATCTGCTTTTGGGTTACACTTTAAATCTCTACTAATTCTTCCTTTGTCCACACATTAGTCAAGTCTTATGTCTCAGGCAATACCTTGAAATTCTTCAAAAGTTTTTTTTTCTCTAAATGAATATGTATTTTGATGTCATCAGTATATTACCTGTTTATGCAAGACATATTATATATAAATACCTGTTATATATAATGAACACATAAAGTTTCAGTTTAAGTTGCAAACTTGGATTCATACTCTAATCAATTATTTATAATTGATTATGGTGGCTCAAAAGTGACTCATGATGAAGATAGAATAAAAGATATTAAGCCATATACCTATGAGGTCTGTAATCTATAATAGTTATTTAATCATAATGTAATCATTTTAGCAATCCAAGGACCCATTTAAGCCTCTAAGATTTAGTAAATAACCAATAAACATTTTTGAATGAATGAATGAATAAATAAATAAAACAAAGAGTCATTTTCTCCCCTAACTTATTTAGAACAAGATGTTCTTTGTATGGTGTAACCCTTTTGCCTGGCTTATTTGGTTTTCCTTTGGATTTTTATTTCGCTGCTATGTTCCTCTTCCCTTTACCTATAAATATTGTTTTCCCCCTTCATATCCAACCAGCTACAAGCTCAGACATACAGATTTTTGTGCATCCTCCTAATACCAAAGGTCTTATTATGGAATGTCATTCAGGAGGTTGGTTCCCACAGCCTCAAATGGAATGGAGAGACAGCAGAGGAGACATACTCCTACCTACATCAAAATCTCACTCACAGGATAGAGACAAATTGTTCAACATGAAGATGACCCTTCTTCTCAGGGATGCCCACTCTGGAAATGTTGCTTGCTACCTTAGAAACCCTCTAACTGGCCAAGAGGAAAGAACGAGCATTGTCTTAGCAGGTGAGATCTGTGTATTTGTTCTTCAAATGATAGCCAATGTCACATGACGAATAAACAAAGCAGAAAAATTCATTTGCTTTCTTCACTTGGTTTCCAAGGCATTAGTTTCTCTTGGATTTATTCATCGTTTTGCTTGTTGTCTTTCTTCTTCTCTTTCCTACATTCACTAGTTTTCACTGTGTTCTTGATATTGGATTTCCCAGGTTTTCAGCCTTTACTCTCTAATGAGTTCATCCTGCCTCCTGGCTCTAAATACCATTGATCTAATGATGGCTTCTCAAATTTTATCTTCAGGCCAGACCTCTTCCCACTCTGTTCTCATCTCCATCTCAGCATCTCAACATAGTCCAGTGGGTACCTCATGCCAAGTGTATAAAACTATACTCTTGGTTTAGTTTACTACCTTCCCAATCACACTTCACATTTTCAATTTTTCAGAACAAAATCTTTAAACTTATCCTTGACTCCAATTCTTTTCTCATATTCTACATAGATAGTATCTGTCAAGAAATAACACCATATCTAGCTCTAAAATAAATACCTGGTGTCTCATCACTTCTCACCACCTCACCACTGCCCTCCAAGTCAGACCCCATCCCCCACTGAGCGATGCAGTGCCGTAGAATCTGAAAGAGTCCCACGTCTGTTCTTAATTCACATGGCTTATGCTCAACATGCAGACAGCAGGACCCATCTCAAACATGAGACATAAAACACTACCCTCTTTCAATACCCTGCAATTGTTCCCCATTTTATTCAGAGTAAAATGCCCCACAACGTCCTGCGTGACTGTCTGTATTCCCATTACCTATCTGACCTCAGCTCCTGGTGTCCTCCTTTGTCCGCTCTAGAGTCACACAGACTCGTTGCTGCCCCCATCTGTGCAGATGAGCTCCTGCTGTGGGGTCTTTGCTCTAGTTGTTCCCCCTTCCTACAATGCCGTAAATCTCACTAACCTTCCTTGTCTCCTTAAAGTCTATGCTAAACTCTAATCTTCTTAATAAGAACTTGTTCCACAAACTGACCTGAAAAAAATGTAACCTGCTTCCTATCACCTGGGGTCTCCTGTCTCCTCATACTTCTTTAATTTTTAATTTTTAGTATCATTACTTTTTAACCCACAGCATAGCGTAATAATTTTATTTTCTCTTATCTATTTTCCTCTTCGAAACATAAAGGTAGGAATTTTTGTTGGTTTTATTAACTGAGACACTCCCCCAACTGCTTCAAATATTGTATGGCATATAGTATTTAGACAATCAATAACTTATACTTAAATGATTGAAATAAAACCAAAAAAGTATCTTGTAAACTACTAGTTATATATGTATGTATTAGGGTTTGTATGAGTTCATAAAATTAGTGTTGGAACCAGAAGCTGAGAAGCATATTGTAACTCATGTATATTATAATAAGAATATTAATTCTTCTAACAGTTTTAGCAATTAACTTTCTTCAAACACTTTTACATTTATTTTCTCATTTGGTATTCAAAAACTAAGCTTCATATTATATTGTGTTAGAAACAGAAGGACAAACTGTTATATAAAATAAAGAAAGATTGATCTATCTACTCTCTGTCCCTATAGTTCATGGCAGATATAGAAGGGAAAATATTTAATTTAATTGCAACTTCTGTAAATAATGAGACATATATTTTTGAGTTAGCACGTGCTTAAAGTAGACATGTACTTTTCTACAAACTTATATTTTTAAAAAGAATTATAATTAACACAAACCTTGGGAAATAATTTTCAGTTCCAGGAAATATAGACATCTCAGGGAGATCTGATGTTCCATTCATGAATATCAGAACATATGGAAAGAGTCAAAACTTATGTTAAAGAAAATATCATAAGTTTAATCTTACTTGGGACTCTGTCCATGACTGACTTGTGAGCAGATAAAGGTCTGTTTTGACCTCATTGGGTTGCAGTAGGAGGGTGCAGTAGGTGGGTATCTGGATATAGGATTAGTTACAACACCATGTGTATCTTGGTCCACTCAATATGCACAAGCCAGTAGGCCAAAGTAGATATTGTCCATATGACTAGAAGAGAAAATTTTACATAGACTATGTCTTTGGATGTATTTGAGAAGAATAATGCCAGACCCAAAAAGTACATTGGCAAATTCAGAACTGCACATATTCTGATAGTTTAGACAAGAGGACTGAAGGAAGGCTTCAGTTGGGAGTGACCTTGTTATAGTCCTGGAAAAACTGCATCTGAGTCTTGGGTGGGAGTTTAAGGGGGAAGAACTTAGCACTACCTTTTTCTTTTACCCAAGGAGCTCATGAATCAGAATGCATGGGAAGAAATACAGAGAGTGGGTTTCACTCACATGTGTCAGCCTGACTCAGCCTCATTCTAGACCCAATCCTACTTTTCACCTACCCAATCATAAATGCCTCTCCAAACTGGCTTAGGTTTAATATTCCAGGGAGAAGGGATCTTGAATTGGATTATGCTTTGGATGAATCATCATTTTTAATTGGGTGGGTCCTTCACCCCAAGTTTCCTAGGAGGTAAGATTTGTAACTCTCCATTTCAGATGAACTATTTTCACAGAAGAAAATTTGGATAATAATTATAATTACACTTGTGACAGTGCTGATATCCTCTATTGCATTTCCCAGTGTTGTATTCTATTGCCAACAGGAACAAGGTAAGTAGGTTTGAAGAATGAGAGATGCAAAGTGGAAGAGGGGAAAGAGCTAAAGCTGCTCTTTCTTCCCAAGTCTGTCTACCTGAGACATTCTAAACTCTTGGGTGTTAGATCTATATCCTACACCAATTCCTTGGTCCTAGATATTTTTTTTCTTGTTGCTGAGCTGCTTACAGTGTTATTTATCTGGAAACCTGAGCTTCTTGCACCTTATACAAGCCGAAACCTCTTTTTTATGGTAATAGATAGGCAAACAAGCTAGGAAAGATTTTAACAACATCTAACACCATTAATACATATTTCTCCCTTGGAAATGACCTTCTCAGGGACAGAAAATAAAGTATCAAACTGCATATTTTCATGGAAAGGCTTCAGAGAGATCACTCACCACTGAAAAAGTTTTCATTCATTCTAAATTATGCTATAGGGGGAAGTGGAATTGAAGGATTCACAATAAAATTCAGTATACACAATAAATAGCCATTCAGGATTGGAAAGCACCAACTCAATAAAGGTTTACAACATACCAAAACATTCAAAATGGCATAGCAGAATTCTAGATTGGCTCAAGAGCAGTCTCCTGGATTCATTTCCTCATACAGCATTGCAGGACAGGATGTCATTTCTACGTGGGCTAGGAGTCTTTCCTCTGGGAAGAAAGACATCAGATTTCCAAACAAAATGACAAGGTCATGCCCAATATGCACAAGCCAGTAGGCCAAAGTAGATGATATGCTAGTTCATATGACTAGAAGAGAAATTTTTACATCAACTATGTCTTTGGATGTATTTGAGAAGAATAATTCCAGACTCAATTTAAAAAGCCTCAAGCTCACATACCCACTCTGGTACCCTGTCTTTAACAATCAGATAAGATCCCCTAGGATCTCCTCCCAAACCAAATAGTCAGCTGAGGATATGGGTCTCAGTTCTTCTGCACTTATCCCAACTTGATGGATCTCTCCTTTTCATTTCTACCTGCTCTTCTGGCCTGAACTCTGTTATTTGATTCAAATGGCTGCCATTTTCCATTACTGTGTCCATGGGGCTAGGGAAGAACCCACATACCAGAAAGCCACAAATCCACAACTTTAGCTCCTGCCAGTTGCTGTTTCAATAAAGTAAATTTTTATTTTGTAGCTTATCTGCTTATTGATAGCATCCAAGTTTCAAGGATTTTTTAAAAATTTTCCTCTCCTTCATTACACCTTTTAATGCACTTCCTTTTTTTTATTGCATACTTCCTTCTAGTATCTTGTGCTTTATTGAGATTTCTAAGGCAACATGTGTGGTTCTAGATAACTCTTTAGAGATTATAGTAAAAGATCTTTCTACATTGATCTTTACAAATCAAACTGCCTCCAGTTATTCAACTATTCCCTTCTGGCATAATTTTAACTCCTAACATTTATTCATCGTTATCTAGAAGGTGTTCTTGAATCATTTGAAATGAATCATTTTCAAGGTGGCAGAGTTCATTCTGTGGTAGGAATTATAACCATGAGAGGCTAACACTTTATTGAGTTTTTACTATTAACAAGCCATATTCCAGTAACTTTATAATTATTAAGGAATTTGACCTCTATAATGCACTTTGAACTAGATGTTATTACTATCCCCATTTTAGCATATGATGAAAATTATGTATTTCAAAGTGGTGTTGCACCTAAAATCACAAAGGTGATAATGGTAGGAAATAAGTTTGAATATAAACTATATGGACACTCATATCCTATATTTTAATCACTAAGTTGAACTGATCATTTAACCCTCTAGCAGAAGAATGGGCAAACCCATAGTAGTAAGCCTTCATAGTATGAAATAACTCCATGAAGAGACAGCCAAATGATACTACCATGATTTGAGTAAAGAATATTTTAAATAATGTGTTATCTGAAGGTCATTTCACTTGTGATATTCTTGTATTTAAAGACCTTAAAACCCCATATCCTGCTCTCTAATGAGGCCCATTGATTGGCTAGGTAGAGTAAGATTTGTTTCTTTCCTCCAGGCCTGTTTAGCCTCAGCCCAATACATGTCCCATCCCTTTTACCTGTCAACAACAGCTTTCTGATATTTAAGTCCTAATCCTTAGTCCTGTTCTTAATCAATACTGGAGATGGCATCAAAATATAGCTGTTGTTTTCTTTTGTGCTTTCCCCCAAATCCAAAGTGCCTCCCACCAGTAACCAGTGATTATTAACATTTCGTTTTCTTCAGATAGATGCTGCAGCTGGAATTCTCCTCTGTTAGTGGGTTCAGTGATAATTATTTCTTCAGTGGTTGTAGATGTCATACTCAGTGTCTGTTTGTATCAGCGTCAAAGAGGTATGTACGATCAAGAGGATGAAAATTTCTTTTCCCCAAATGCCCAGTAACTCTTAAGACACTTAGCCAAAGAAAGAGGAGGGATACTTGTGTGAACTATAGGAACAATAGACCCTTGGGCCACATGTCATAGGGTTTGAATTCCAGCCTCCTGAATTTTATGGGATTAATGATACATTAAAAATTACTGATGTTTCTGCTTCTAAAGAAAATATTTCTTCAATTTAATAGTCTCATTTTTGCTCCTAAATCTAGCCATCAGCACTTTGCTTCATAAGTTACTCTAATTATTCCCATACTTTAACCTAGAGATAATGATTCACTGTATCTTAATGTTTGTAGGTCATAGATATCTTTCAAATCAAAACTGCCTCCAGTTATTGATGCAAAGAAAGGGACCCTCTTTCAAAATTATCCATCAGTACATAAGAATTTTGCTTAATGTCATGGTGTGTGTGGACACCTGAAATTGATCCTTCTTTTTTGGCTCTCCTTGAAGGTGAAATTAAAATAGTAATTACAAAAGTTTGGGATAGTTGAACTGAGCATTTAAAATGTGCCATCCACAGTATATTTGAGGTCCCTAAGAAAATTGTATGTACAAGGTAATGATCATTAAGATAAAGTAATTTTTTAATAATATGTCAGCGTCATAGACAAAACCACAATGCAGAAACCATAAAGTAGGACTGGACTCTTCAGATGATTTTTTTTCATTAACTTTTTCTGATAAAATGAAGACACTAATGGTCTTAAACCAAAAGAGGTGAAAGTAGAAATTCTGCAACATCTTACAATATGTTCAGCTTAAAGCATGAATGAACTTTGAGGATATTATTCTAAATGAAATAAACTACTCACAAAAAAATACTATATGGTTTCACTTGTATAAGGCACTAGGAGTAATCAAAACCAAGCAGACAAAAAATAGAGTGGTGGCTGGCAGGGGCTGGATGTAGAAGGTAGGGAATTGTTAGATGAATACAGAATTTCAATTTGGAATATAAAAAAATTTCTGGAGATGAATGGAGGTGATAGCTGCAAAACAATATGAACTTAACTTTCCTATGTACATATATGAACACACCACAGTGAATCTACATCACGTACAACCACAAGACAGGGATCCCAGTTAGAATAAGATGTACTCCATGTTTGTATAAATATGTCTAATTATACTCTACTGTCATGTATAACTAAAAAGAATATAAAACGAATTAAAAAATAAAATGAAAGTGAAAAGTGGAAAATATATTAAAAATAGTATGAAAGCACATGATATAACTGAACTGTAGAGTTAAAAATTGTTAAAGATGGTAAAGTTCATGTTATGTACATTTTACTATGATTAAAAAATAAAATTTTCTACTTTTCAAGGGACACTGTTACAACAAAGAAAAGGCACTATAGAGTGGAATAAAATATTTGTAAAATACACATACTGACAAATAATTGAATCTAGAATACATTATTTCATTTTACACAAGACAGCTACTACTAAGCATCCCTTTCTTTTATAGTATTTTCAGTTTTTCATTGAAGAAATGTACACTATAATTATTGAAATGGCTAGAGTCTAAGTGCATATTGTGCACTGGCACATTATTTTACATAACACTGCTATGAACACAGGTCTACCTCTTCTAGACCCTGAATTTAATTATTTTAGATATAAATACAGAAATAGAACTTGGTCCAATTTTCTTTTTAATTTTTGAAGGCACTGTCATATTGTTTTCCACAGTGTCTTCACCATTTTTTTTATCCTTACAGATAGTACACAAGAATTCCTATTACTTCCTGTGAATACCAACACTGTCTTTTTTTTCCATATATGGTAACAAACTAGAAAAGTAACATGGTATCTCATTATAGTTTCAAATTATATTTTCCTAATTGTTTATGATGTTAAGCATCTTCTTGTGTTCTTATTGACCATTAGTATGTCTTTTTTTGGAGAATTTTTATTGGTGCATCATAGTTATACATAATGACGGGATTCATCATGCTGTAATCATACATACATATGACATAATTTGATCAATCTCATTCCCCAGTACTTTTCCTACCCCCCCAACCCTTCATCTTCTTGCTGTACTTTACTAGTTTCTCTATTACTATTATTGTTATTTTAATTATTGGAATACATATATATTAGTGCATGTATATTTGTGTGTACACACACATATGATTCATTGTGGTATTCATACTTAGACATAGCATAACTAAGTGGATTTTACTCCCTAGTAATTCCCCATGCCCAACCCTCCTGCCTCCCTCTTGATCCACTCCCTCTATTCTGTTGGTCTCCCTTCTATTTTTGTGAGATGAAGGTATGGTTGTTCAAGTCATTTTCCCAGTTTTGAACAATATTGTTTGTTTTTCATTTTGACTTTCAGGAGTTCTCTATATGCTCTGGATGTTGATCTTTATCAAATAAAAGATTTACAAATATTTTCTCTGATTCTTTAGGCTGATTTTTAAAATTCTATTAATGGTGCATTTAAATTTTTTTAGTTGTACATGGTCACAATACCTTTATTTAATTTATTTATGTGGTGCTGAGGATTGAACCCGGTACCTCACACATGCTAGGCATGTACTCTACCACTGAGCTACAACTCCAGCCTGTGATGATGCATTTTAATGCGCAATTTTTAAAAAGTTTTATGCACTCAGTTCAGTTTGTGTATGATTTCTTTGATACTATATCCAAGAACCTATTGCTAAGTCCAATGTCAAGAAGCCCTTGGCCTGTTTTTCTCTAAGACTTACACGATATCATATTTTACATTTATGCTTTTTAATAAATAATTATATACCCATTTAGGGTTAATCTTTGGATACAGCATTAGATAAAGACTCAACCTCAATCTTTTACATGTGAATAGTCAGTATTTCTCAGCACCATTTATTGAAGAGAGTCCTTTCCCCACTGAATGGTATTGGCACCTTGTCCAAGATCACTTTTTTAATATGTGAGGACATAGGCTACATTCTATTCCATTGGTCCACATGCATGTCTGTATGCCAGGTCCACACTGTTTTAAGTGCTGTAAGCTTTACTAGGTTTTGAAAGCAGTCCGAGAGTCCTCCAGCTTTTTTCTCCTTTTAAAAAAAATTGGGGGGAATATTTGGAGTTTCTTGAGATTCTCTATGAGTTTTAGGATGGGCTTTTCTATTCCTGCAACAAATACCACTGATTTTTTGTACGAGTTGCATTAAAGCTGTAGATAATGAAAGAAAAGAGAAAAACAAAGCAGTGGTGGGGTAAGTCCCCTGGATGTTACCTCAATTGGAGAGAGAGATACATGCAATAAGAGGGGAAATTGTAACAATTATGGCCACCCATGCATCTGGTGATCAGAAGCAGCAGTGATCACAGAATAGCCCCCTTATATTTCCTTATATTTGAAGGACAGAAATTAATTTTGCCCACTCTGTCTCCTACTGGAGATGTGCAGGATGCTCCAAGAACACACACTGCCAACCACAGGGAAGGTAGATGCATAGCTGTTACCGAACACTATTTTTTTCTATGAAAAGAAATGCAAATGATATAATAAGGTATAGATAGTCATAGGTGCCTTATAAAAATGAAAGATAAAATGTTCTAAACTCATTTAATTAGTCAATATATATTTTACAAATATTTTCTCCCAGTCTGGCTCGCCTTTTCATTTTCATAATATTGTTCCTTGAAAAGCAGAAACAATGATTTTTTATTATGGTAAAGAGTACACAACATAATATTTACCATTTTAAGCATTTTTAACTCCACCATTTAGTGATATTAAGTACATTCATATTGTTGTGCAACCATCACCACAATCCATCTCCAAAAAACTTATCTTCCCAAATTTAAACTCTATATTCATCAAACCATAACTCACTATCTTCACCTCCAGCCCCTGGCAACCACCACTCTATTTTCTCTCTTTATGTTTTTGTCTATTTTAAGTACCTCACATATGTGGAATCATATAGTATTTGTCATTTTTTGATGGGCATATTTCACTTAGCATAATGTCCCCAAGGATTATTCATGTTGTAATATATTGCAAAATATTTTTCATTTTTAAGGTTAAGCAACATTCCTTTTTATTGATATGTTTATCCATGCATCCTCTGAGAGATGCTGGGTTGCTTTCTGTTTTAGCTCTTACACCAAATGCTACTGTGAATGTGGGTATACCAACATCTCTTCTAGTTCCTGCTTTCAATTCCTTTGGGTGTACACACAGACATGAAACTTTTAGATCGCATTATTATTCTATTTTTCTTAGGAACTTTTATACTAATAAATGGGATACTAGCTATCTATAGTTTATATAGGAAAGTAATTTCTTTTTTTTTGTTTTGTTTTTTTGAGGAGTACCAGGGATTGAACTCAAGGGCACTCAACCACTGAGCCACATCCCCAGCCCTATTTTATATTTTATTTAGAGACAGGGTCTCACTGAGTTGCTTAGTGCCTCACCATTGCTGAGGCTGGCTTTGAACTTGCAACCCTCCTACCTCAGCTTCCTGAGCTGCTGGGATTATAGGCATGTGCCACTGTGCCTGGCAGAAAGTAATTTCTAATTGGCATTGTTACACAGTAATACAATTTCTAATTGGCATAGTTTTAGCAATGGTGCTACCATCACAAGACACAGGAACCAATATCATGAGCTGTGGACTTTTTTTTTCACTATAGAATTACCAAGAAAAAAACACTTTAAGGGAAATTTCTGCTCCAGATGACAGTATGACTATAAGGAATTGTAATTTTTCAGAACCTTCAGCACTAGATAAAGCCAACAAAGGCATAACATATCCATCTTTCCTTCAGACTCTGGCCAGCCAGAGCAAGCACCAAGGTATTGAATAGAAGAATGGATATCACCACCTCACAGCCCTCCTCCAACTTTAGCCCAAACTTGCTCATGTCCAGGATTGTCCATGTAGCCCAACCTCCTTCTCTCCCATTCTCACAAATTCAGAAAGTATGGAATAATAGTAATCTGAAAAACAAATCTATCATAAATCTTTAATACAGCACTCCTTTCTGAGTGGCAGCTCCCTAATTCTTTCATGTCTCCCAGTTCCTGATTCAGATCCACTATTTGCATTGGATGCCATCTGGGCAGAAGATATGATTGTGGCCCTCTGGGTGCTGATGGTCTTCATCACCATGCTCATTTCCCTTATTTACTTCAAAATGAGAGGTAAATGGAATGGGAAATTCAGAATGCATGGTTACTCTGACTGATGGCTGGATGTCCAGAAGGGTAACTTTCTGCTCCTTCTGTCTTAATAATTGGAGGAAGGAATGAGGAACTGTGTCCTATGTAAGGATTTGTAGATTGTAGCTTTCTTGAGGTTCCTGGGATTTCTAATAGTGCCAATGTTAGTGGCTCAAAATCCACTGACAGTCACAACTGTGATTACACAGTTATAACAACTCTCCCTGGTACATGTGGAAGGGTGAGCTTTGTTTTATCTACAGTCTCTGAAACTTCTGTATATACAGCTCTTTAAAAAACACACATGATTTCTTCTCAAATGATCTCAAAGGCAGAATTGAACATTTAACATCATAGTTTTCTCTTTCAGAAACATGTGAGTGTCTAAGGGGCAGAACCAGGAACATTTCTGAACCTATATTAATAAAGGACATGTCTTTGAAATATTCCCTTACTCAAGTCAATTCTTGTAAAAATAGAAGGGAAGATAGAACTAGTGACCCAGAAAGGAATTTTTACATTTAATTTCTGTGTTCTACCAATAACCTACAATCTTAAAGCGTTCCACTTTAAAAAATGTACATGATTAACCAAATGTACATAGTCTTTATTCTCTTCAGCTTTTCCCCTCAAACAAAATGCAAATCCATGCACAATACAAAGAAATTATTTTTGCTTAAGTAAAAAAGGCTCAGAAACTGGAACACAGAACTCTCTACTGTTTTCATCTTTTGATTCTTGGCTTAATCTAGACCACCCACTGAGAGCAGACAGGTGTTGAGTTGTTCAACTAAGACAAGACAAAATGACAACCCAGTCAAGCCTTTATCCACTTATTGCAGGAGTATAAGAAAGAGGTCAGAGGAAAAGTAATACTGACTCTCCACTTGTTATGGTTTGAATCTGGAATGTCACCAAAAGATCAGGTATTGGGAGCATGGTCTCCAATACAAGAAGGTCCAGAAGTGGGGCTTTTCAGCAACTATTAGGGCTCAGACTTTATCAATAGATTAATCCATTTGACAGATTAATCATTTGAATGTTCTGCTAGGTGGCAACTGTAGGCAGATGGGCATGGCTGAGGGAGGTAGGTTACTAAGTGTATATATTGAGGAATATATTTTGTCACTAGAGATTCTCTCTCTCTCTCTCTCTCTCTCTCTCTCTCTCTCTCTCTCTCTCTCTCTCTCCCAGCTACCATGAACTAAGAAGCTTTCTTCTGTCACAGATTCCCACCGTGATGCTCGGCCTAACCTTGGACCTGAAGCAATGGAGTTGGCTGACCATAGACTGAATTCCTGAAATCATGAACCTGAAATAAACTATTCCTCCTCTAAGTTGTTCTTATTAGGTATTTTGACTACAAGGATGAAAAGTTGACTAACACAGTGCCGTTCCTTTTCCCACCTGGAACAATACTTTAGCAAGGCTAAATTATACTACATGTCACCTGAGACATGTGGTGCATGTGAAGGAAAGCCTCACTACAGAGGGCTCCTGCCCTTTTGTGGATTAGGAGGAGTAATGAGGGTATACAGGGAAGGATTAGGAATGGAAATGTATTGAGTCAGAAGAGAGAAGAATTTTTATAGTCAAGATATTCTATAAAATAGACTCAGCAGAGATGATTGAAAATTGTCTTAGCTGAGGATCTCAATAAAGAGGCCTCTAAAAGAAAGTTCCTGGACCACATATGCCAAGAGCATGACTACCTGAGAGCTGGGGATTGATTCCTTGCCTGCAACTCCCTGCAGACACTTTAAGGCACTGGCTGTGTGCAGTATGTGGTGTAGGAAAACAGCTTTCTCCATGAGGCTTGCTAAGCAAAGTCTTTGTAATTTCCTATGGCGGGACATAAAGGATCACACACAGGATATTGGGCAGGAGACAAACTTCCCTCATTACATTCTTAATGTTCAGATACCGTCCACCATTGAAATGAAACAAATGCAGGGGATAAGTGTGTTTGCAAAGTACAAATTTGTACTCTTTATACTAGTTTCTGCCAACAAGAAAATCAGCCCAGTCATTTGCATTTATAAGAATGGATTAATGATAAAGGGAAGTAGTCTGGATCCTATAGTCAATACTCTTCAGCTTAAGTCACATTTACCTACTGACTCAATGAGACTAACTGCTGTGACCTGCACAGCCAAACCCTAGAAACTGGCAAGGGGCAACGGGGAATTAAGAAAGACACATAAATATTTAAAGAGAAAGCTGGGATCAGGTGATACATTGATCTGTGATGGAGAAGCAGTGACCCACAGTTAGCACAGCACATTTATTATATAGGGTTTCATAATCAGGAAGTTAATGTTCTTTGTGCACTAAAAAGTTACAGGACCAAAAATATTTTTGTAGCTATTCTACTGTTGCAATGTCAGGAGCATCCTGTTGTGCTCAGGAATCCCATTGTCCAGAGTTCCTAGTAAGAGGGCAGGGTTGGAGGTCAGAGCACTGGTCATACATTGTGGTTATCTTGTCAAGCTCAGAATTCTCTTTTCCTTGGAATTGGTGCCTGAGCTCAAAGTCAAGACTGATATAGCTCTGTGTTTTTGCCCAGAGCCTTATCAGGCAGGCTGTCCATAGCAACTGGGCAATCTTGACCTGCACCTTGCTTGCCCAAGAAGTTCCCAATGCAAGTGTACCACAACCACGAGGCAGAGACCATGATCCAAATCACTGCTCTCCATAACTAACAAGAAAGAGTGAAGGAGAAGTTTTACTTTCTGTAATGCAGAAGACCAAAGGAACTGAAATATACCCTCTTCAGCTACATGGAGCTCCAAGGCCATTGATTGATGGTGCTTCTCTGTATCCTACTAAGAACAATGATGGAGGTGATTGAACAGTTCAAATATCTTGTCAATGTGTCTTTTGTTTTTTCCAAAAGTATCTGTGTAAAAGAGGTTAAAAACAATGTATCTGAGCTAGAGATTACACAATACAATGAACCGAGAAAGCCAAATCATTGCATTTCTCATCACTTAGGCCCTATTAATGTGTCTCAAATTGGTAATATTATAGAGCTTCTTAGTAAGAACTTCATGATAGCACAGTCAAAATTTAAAATGATCAAAACTGACTGCATTTTTGAATGCCCTTTAAATAACTGCATTTTTTGAGTAAATAAACAGATAACTGCAATAATTAGATCAATTTTACTTTTGAACGATTTTTTTTTCAGCTGCATCCCCGTACCATCTCACTGGATGAATTTAGCTCTTCTCATATGTTGAAAAGTTGATCATTTATATTCCATGTGTCTCATGTTTCACAATTTTCCAAGTTTCAAAAGTATACATGAAGCTGGTACAGTGGCACATGCCTACCAGCAGTTTGGGAGGCTGAGGAAGGAGGATTGCAAGTTCAAAGCCAGCCTCAGCAATGGCAAGGCACTAAGCAACTCAGTGAGGCCCTATCTCTAAATAAAATACAAAATAGTGCTGAAGATGTGGCTGGCTGACTGAGTGCTGCTGAGTTCAATTCCTGGTAATCCTCCCCAAAAATGTTATGGATGAAGATATTTAGAAAAAATGAAAAAAAAAAGCATAACCCAAGATAAATTCTGATGTGTCTTGTTCAATAATTTTATTTTTTAAATGACTGATCCTGAGTGAAACACAACATATATTTATTTTATTTGAGTTACAAGGATATAAGGTGAGAGGAGATAAGCACACAAAGGCAGGCAGGAAGGTATCTTTTGATTACAATTTCAACAGTGTATATGTTTATTTCAGTTATGAAGAAATAATATGAAAATTAGGCCAGGCTCTTTTCTTAGGCACATTTATTATTTACAGGGCTTCTCCCAGGAGATATTTTAAGCTAAGGAATTCAAGTTAAGCCATGTCTAAATAAAAGTTGTTTCTTGTAGCTTTTCCAAGTATCTCTGGCATCTCAGAGGAAGTTAATATGTTCTCAAACATGTTCTCATCTCAACTGTTTGCCTTCAGTAAAATGTGAATTCACTACCTTCAGTAAATTTATTTCTTTGACAGATCACATGTAAAACTGAAGGGACTGAACAGAAATAAATTGTCTCGTTTGCAACTGTGAATAGAGAGACCACAGTGAAACAAAATGCTAACCCCTCAGAAGGAAGTAATTATGACTGTGTAAATGTCTACATGTGCCAATTACTATGTAGAGGTAAAGAAAGATACATTTGGGTACTCAGATTTGATTTATGTTGATTCAAAAAAGTGGTGAAAATACAATAAGATGAGCTAAAGGAAAACAACAATAAAACCATTATTCTACATGGCAAAATGTAAATAATTCCCTGAAAGTAGAAATAATTGTATTTCAGTATTAAAGAAAACTATTCTTAAGCCAGACACAAAAAGACAAATATTACATGTTTTTACTCATTTGTGGAAACTAGTAAGTTAATCTTGTAGAAGAACAGAATGTAATAGTAATCAATAGAGACTGGGAGGATATGGAAAGAAGTTCAATAAGGGGCACCAAGGCAAGAAAGGGAGGAATGTTAGCACCTTAGGGTAACTATGGCTTAAAATAATCTATAGTATATTTCAAAACAGCTGGAAGAGTACACAATTCTCAACCTATAAAAATGATGATTATTTAGTGATTATTTAGAGAAGTAGAAATTAATACATTTATGATGTAAAATTAGCATAGACAACTTGAAGAGAACCTGTCAGTAAGAACAAATTGAAATTGAATTTTTATCATCTTCCTTTTTTTTTTTTTGGTAGTAGTGGGTATTTAACCCAGGGGCACTCTATCACTGAGCTACATCCCTTGCCTGCCCTTATTTTTATTTTGAGACTGGGTCTCACTAAATTGCCTAGTCTGGCCTCAAATTTGCCATCCTCCTGCCTCAGTCTCGACAGTAGCTGGGAATATAAGCATGTATCCCTATACCCAGTCTATCCCACTTTTTACTAGGTGTCTATTGCAGATCTGAATAAAATTTAAAAAGATAGGGAGGGTAAGAGAGGAAGGAGGAAGACAAAGAGAACTATTACTTTTAAAGAAGCAAATGAAATTCAATAAATACAATAAGTTTTCTTATATTGCCATAAATATAATTTAAACAGATAATGTTAGGTAAACACAAGTATGTGTTAAAAGGAAAAATTAAAGCTTAATAACAGTGATATAAATTTGAAATAGTCAAAAGCGCACACACATACACACACACATTAAAAAAATTACAAAACCATCCACACCAAATTACAGGTGTCTGAGGGAGTAAATAAGGAGCAGAAATTGTTGTTTGATATTTCACTGAATTGAAAAATTTTTTTAATACTTTAAACAAAGATACGGGAAGAAAATTGTAATCTCTGCTTAATTTTTGTTAAATAGTTGAATGTTACAAACTGGAGAGTATTCAAAAACATTTACTTAATTTTGATAAGAACAGCAGGAGTCTATGGAATTTTGGCCAGAGGTATTCCCATCTCCTATTCTGGCCTTAAATTTCATGACACAAAATTTTACCCTAGAAGAGATACATAGGCCTTAAAGATTGGTACCTCTGGTGGTGTGCCAGAAAAGAGCACATTATTTGGAGCAGAATATGAGAAAACACAGAGTGTTTTAGAATCAGTAGAGATCTCAGGAGAAAACAATTAGGGAAAGCTAACAATCTGAGCTATATTACTCTGAAGAAGCAGGAAAAAAACCATGGCAGACCAACCGAAAATTAGCAGAGATTCATGGAAAATGACATCCAACTTGCTAGGATGACTCTTACTCCTGGTAGTAAATATGACTGTATATTGGGACAGATCAGAATTTATGTTTTGCAAAATATTATGTTTAAAAATCCAGTTTCAACAACTACAGTGAGGCATGCAAAGCAATAGAGAGGTGTGAACTGTACATAGAAATAAATGCAGGCAATGAACAATGTCTTTGAGGTGGTCTAGATGTTGCAACTATCAGATAACAACTTTAAAGCATTTATTATAAGTGTGTTCAAAGAATTGGAAAATGTTTAAAATTTGTAAATAACTGTATTTCAACCTCAATTACAGACAATCAATAAAGAGAAATTATAGGGGCTGGGGTTGTGGCTCAGTCGTAGAGTGGTCACCTAGCATGCACGAGGCACTGGGTTCGATCCTCAGCACCACATAAATGTAAAATACATTGTGTCCACCTAAAACTTAAGAATAAACATTAAAAAAAATGTATGTCCCAATGTATCATCTCTTTACATGATAAATAAACCCAATAAAGATTTTTTAAAAAGAGAAATTATATTTATTATAATAATTGTACTATTATTAAATAATATAATAAGTTCTATTTATAATTTTAGAAGATGATTCTGATGGTAAAAAGAAAATAACTGAAAGGAAAATTTTACTGGAATAATTCAGTACATATTTGACACAAAAGGAAGAATCGGTAGACTTGAAGCTATCTCAATAGACATTATACTATCTGAAGCACAGAAATTTGATGGAAGACATTGATCTGTCTTCCATCTGTCTAGGATAAACACAAAATGACACACTCTCCATAGTTAAGCAGTTGAAAGATAAAGATTAAAACAGAAAGAAAATGAAAGACTCATCACATAAAATGAAACTACACTGTTACCATTGCTTAGTTATAGAAAATAATGGACAACAGAAGGTAATGAGAAGATGTATTCAAAATGCTAATAGAAATACAAAGAACATGTATATGCTCCTTTCATTCTCTTTTTAATATCTAGAGAGTGCATAGAACCATTTTATATTATTTTCTTTTCTTTTTATCCTTTGTACAAATTTATTGAGGTTTGATTGATGTGCAACATATTACATAAATTTAAGGTGAAAAATTTGATGCTGCTTGACATAGCCATATATCCTCTAAACTATAACTACAATAGACATACATTAATTCCATTTTTTTTCTAAATACTCCTTGATAACTCATCCTCACCATTTTCCTACCACTATCCTCAGGCAAACATTTGATATATTTTTTGATATTAGAGATTAATATATATTTTGTAGAATTTTATATGAATGATATCACAAAGTACATATTTGTTTTTATTTGACTTCCTCCACCTAGAATAATTATTTTGGGGTTCATCTTTGCTGTTATATGTATACAGCAGAATAGTAGTCCAGTGTATTGATATGCCACACAATATGATGAATTTGTTGAATTATTCAACTGTTAATGTACTTTGGAGTAATTTCCAGTGTTTCCACTCTATTACAAATAGAGTGGTATGAACATTCATGTGCAAGTCTTTCTGTGGACTGTCCTCATTATCTTTCATTATGTAGACATGGAATATCAGCATCAACATATGATATATGTATGCTTAACTGTTTATGAAACTACTAAATTATACTACAACATGCTTGTGCCAGCAGTGTATGACAGTTTTCACTGTTTCATGTTCTGGTCAATATTTGTTATGTCAATCTTTGTACTTTTAGCTACTGTAGTGTGTGTAAACTAGTATCTCATTGGAGTTTTAATTTACATTTCTTTAAGGATTAATGATACTAAAGATTTTTCATGTGCCTCAACTTAATCTATTTCTAGTTATAAAAGTAACACTATATTTAATGGTCAATTCCAGTAATCAGAGTCCTCAGAAAAAACCCTTTGAAACAATATTCCTCTTATTATTCCACACTTATATATGTTGGTCTTAACTTTCACATTCCAAAATCATTTGTCTGGTTATAATTCTTTGATTCAAACCATTGATGCTGCTGCCACCACACAGAGGTCCATTGATAGGGTGCCTGTAGATTTGTTTGCATGTGGCCACCTCCATCTTGGGACACTGGCCAGGGCCAGGAGGTCTAGGGACAGGTAACTGCAGGTTTAGCTGCCCCTGAGGTCTTCCTGCTAGGAGTGCTGTTGGCCACCATCTTGCTGCTTCTTCACAGGGTCCCTCCTTTCTGTGAGTTCATCCCTGGTGGTATCACTGAATGAATGTTAGAATGGCATTGAGATCTTGAGACTGCAACATGGCTGAGCCTGGGATATCTGAAGCCCAGATCTGCCAGATAGTAGCTGGGTTTACATGGGCCACTCTGTGCCTGGCAATTTTGTGAAAAATCAGAGACTGGGAGCATTTTATTGGCAGGAGCACAGGTCAGAAAGGTTAGAAAGAGCTGGGATCTCCCAAGCTCCTTGAGTCCTGAAATGCTTATAGACAGATGGGGCTGACTACATCTGGTCAGAAGGTTGAAAGAGGGTGTGAGGGCAGCTTACTCAGCCAATAAGTCTGGCATCCACCGGACTAAAGATAACATCAAACTGTAGACAACCCCACTTATCAACCCCACCCAAGAAGGGAAGCTGAGAAACTTTTGAATTCTAAAGGAAACAATTATTTAATTTTTCATTTCCCCCCCCCCTCAAATCTGTGCCATATTTGAAACCAAGTATTTTTCATGCATCAGTTTATTATGGACTGGGATGTCTGAGATGTCTGAATAGTTGTTTTGTTTTGTTTTGTTTTTACAATTCTGTTGTGTATCTTTTTTTTTCACTTCGTATAATTTTTTTTTCTCACACTTATCTGTTTCCCTGGATTTTCTTTCTCTCTTTTCTTCTGCTAATATCCAACCTCACTCAATTCCTCTTTCACTCTTTCTATAAATTTTTACATCTATCTTCTCTCTGCATCCCTAATAAATATCACATCATACACCATTCTGTTATCTTTTTATCTACCATTTAAAATTGTAAACTCTTTTAACAAATTTACTGTTTATATTGTAGACAATAATTAAACACATCATTTCTGTTTATTGCAACAAATCAGTAGGCATCTTAATAGGAGCTATTAGGTTTAAGGCCATATGTTGTTTGCATTGGATGCTGTTAATATCAGTCTTCCTTTTAAAGGCAAGACACTGGAAACCTTCAGGGACATGATAAGTCTACAAGGTAGAAACTGTATTGCCTCCGATCCATATTGCTAGATGGAAAGAAAATCAAAAAACTGGAAAAAACAAGGGAACAAAGGGCCCCAAACAAACCAAGATGCTCCAATAATAGAATCCATTGACAACACTGGTGAAGAAATGTAAGAAAAGGGCTTTAGGATGTACATAGTTAAATTTATCTGTGAAGTAAATGATGGTATAAGGAGTGAAATCAGACAGAAAATACAGGAAATGAAAGATCACTTTAATAAAGAAGCAGAGATTCTGGAAAAAAAGCAGAAATCGTGGAAATGAAGGACTCAATAAATCAAATTAAAAAATTCAGTGGAAAGCATCACCAATAGACTAGACCATTTGGAAGACAGAACCACAGGCAATGCAAGCAACATATTTATATAAGGAATAGTCAATCAAAGTAGAAACTAAGTCAAGTTAAAAACCAGAAATATGTTGAGGGCCATGGACAAGTCAAGATGGTGCCTGGCACTGTGCCAGGAGGAGTGGTTTGAGAAGTAACACCAGCGAGCCATTAAGATGATGAGGATTCCTTAATGACTAATTTCTGTATGTAGATGATGTTAATTGAAACAAGCTATGTATAATGAGTTAGGTATAAATACCTCTGCTGTCCTACAATAAAGGGGCTCCTGCTGTTTCAACCTTCACAAGTTGCTTGACACCCCCCGGTTATTTTGCCCAGCCAGACTGCGGCAGATGGTGGCCCGTACGGGGAACCCCAGGATGCTCAGGGGTGAGTGACAAGGTAGGCTGCCTGTCCCTGGAGATAGATGGGACAGGAGCAAAGCTGCTTGTCCCTGGAAGCAGATAGGGCAAGAGGAAGGATGGCCATCTCAGGAAAATGGAGAGGATTGATACAGTATGTTTGTGTCTTGTTTTGTCTTGGTGTGTTGTATTATCTTTGTTACGAAAATATGGAAGGGGTGTTAAGTAAATTGCTAAGGGAAGGAGGCACCCCAGTGGAACCAAGAACAGTTAGGGCATACGTTGATAAAAGCCCAGGAATTCTAGTCAGAAAGAGGAAGAAAGTTCAGAGGAGAAAGGAGTATCAGGGGAAAAGTTGCAACAAAAGGCTACTACTAAATACTTTTCATCACCAGAGGGTGCATGAAGCAGTGCCATGTGTGCAATGCAAGCCAGTCGCCGGCGCAGGGAGGACTTTCCAGCAGGTGGCCCTCCCCCCCCATAGGACTGCCCGAGGACACTGCAGCTGGTGGCAGAGGACGCGCCCGGTGCCCCTGAAGTTTGGTCATTTCCAATGTCAATAACTAGGTTCTCCCACACCTGGAGGCTAATGAATAATGAGCACCATTAAGGCCTATTTCAAATGTAAAAAACCTTGAGATAATGTATTAAATTGTTTGGAAGGTTGTTTTCTTGGTGCCTGCTGGAATGCTACAGGATTTTCTTTAGCCATCATTGCCGGAGATTTGTGCAATAAAATAATCATACAGTTTAAAACATTTTATACCCCCCAGATTCTCTTGCACCTATTTGAAGTCCATCCCCATGCTCAACCTTGATACCAATCCCACAGTGGGATTGATGGGTCATATGGTAAATCTACTTATAATTTTTTGAGAGGCCTTCATATAGTGTTCCGTTATGGCTGCATTTAGATTTCCAATTACAGTGGACAAGGTCTCCCTTTGCTTCACAATCTCACCAGCACTCATTAACTTTTGTTGTAATCAGGGAAATGCAAATCAAGGTTATGTTGAGATTTCATCCCACTTCAACTAAAATCGCAATCGTCAAGGACACAAATAATAGTAAATTACGGCAAGTATATGGAGGAGCAGATACACTCATATTTGTTGATGGGACTACAAATTATCTGGAAAGCACTATGGTAATTCTGAAAAGATTAGAAATGAAATCAATATGTCCCAGCTATTCCACTCTTTGGTATCCAAAAGAAATAAAATCAGAATCCTATATGATACATTTATATCAATGTTTATATCAGCACAATTTATACTAATGAAGTTATGGAACCAGCCCAGGTATCTATCAATAGATGAAAGGATAAAGGAAATGTCCTATATATGATAATGGAGTTTTACTTAATCATAAAGATGAAATTATGTTATTTGCTGGTAAGTGGATGGAGCTGGAGAACATCATGCTATAAGATAAGACAGACTCAGAAATAAGACAGACTCAGAAATTCAATGGTCCAATGTTTTCTCTCATATGCAGAATCTAGAGAGAAATTATTTTTAAAAGGAAGGAGTTCCAAGAAGATAGAAGGGAGAACAGTAGATGAGATGAAGGAGATCAAAATGG